TATGATATAAATATTTGAAAATGGTAAAAATTGGCGTTTTTTACCGTGCGCACAAATCTAAAATGTTGTCTAGGATGAGTTCTATTGGTCCTATCAAGTTGTACAATAGCTCATTTTAAAGAGGATTCAAATGCCTTTAATCTGATACCAAACTCAACCTACTTTGGTAAAAATTAAATTTTTTTTTAAATTTCAAAATATGTTTTTGAAAAAAAAAATTAAGATAGTGTTTTTTGAAAAATTTGAAAATTACATATGTTAAAGAATGTAATCTAGTAAATACATTATACAAATTTCAAAATGGGATGATAATGGGATCAGCAGTTATGATCAAAATACTTGACTATGGTTCACTGTTTCCAAGCATTTTGGCGCATACAGCGTGTACGTACTAACCTAAATGTATCATTAAATAAGAGTCTATTAATTATATGATTAAAATTAAAAATATCTGCCTATATTTGAATTATGTATGTCATATTTTGCTATAATATAAACTAAATCTAGCAAATAAACAACATTATTCAAGTTAACAGAGTTTCTGTCGACCTTTGAACATGGGGGCTACTTTGAACAAACTTTCCACTTTTCATATTTTATTTTTTTTTCATATTAATTTTATCTTTAAATGATAATGTTTATCATAATTTTCTATTCCCAGATAAATACTCTACTTAAAAAAAATATTTAATAGTGCATACTATGGTTCTACAAAAAATTAAAAATACTTATCTTTCACTGAAATTTTTTAGTAAAAAAAAGTCGTCCAAACTTCCATGTCTACAGCAAACCCAGTAAGTTTATGATTTATGACTTAAAACCATTTAATTGAATAGCCCATTTATCTGGGATTAAGAAAATACCTGCTTTGATTACTTTATAAGCAGAAATAACTTTTCAAAAAAGAAAGAAAAAAATTACCCGATTTGCTGACCTTTACTTATGGCGTCGCGACACTTAGTTCTGGAGCAAAATTTCCCGGACATGAAAAAAAAATACTTGGGTTTTAAGTGTTACATTTTTTAAGATGATTTTTCTAATGAAAACAGATGTTTTGAGCTTTAGTTATTATTAACAGCCATAATCCAATTCCTTTATTTGACTGCCATGATATTTAAAAAATACCCTTGCGAAGTTCAAAAATAACCAGACGGACATTTAGAAAATTCTCCGTAACTTTTTTTAATTTTCGGTATCAATCAATTCCTTCTATTAAAACTGTATTACCTTTCATCTTTTGATACCTGCTCATCATTTAATTCCAAACAAATTGATAAACATACAACTTTGGTTGGGTTTTCATTTTTTTATTGTTGAATATTTTTGTAATTGCCTTATACCACAACACAACCTTCCTCTTTAATCAGTAAACTTGTCCACAGTGCAGCCCAGCAATGTGGTCAAGGTTTCTGTCACTGTAATCAGTTTATTTATTGTTGTGCTGAGTTGGATTCTTTTCCACAGGTATATTAAAAAAAAAAATCCTATAGAGATGTATCTGTTAGGTACCGTAGGTTCTATAGCAGGTAGGTTCTATAGCAGGATCTAGACCCTGGACCGATTTACTTTTTCATCTTGATCGTCTCTTAGAGGTCAAGACACTATTCGATAGAGTCTTCATTTGGCATGAATGTATAGGGTGGCATAAACTCAAATGAGTTCGCGAACCAACAATATCGGGTCATGAAAACAGTGTTTTATGGGGTTTTGAAATATTCAAAAAAATTTCATATTTTTACTTTCAAAACATAAAAATGCCCAACTTGTATTGCAACCAGAGCAAAAAAAACACACAATTTTGTACACCGAAGCATTAGTGTACAATTGAATTATAGGCTATGGAGAAAATTCCAAAGATATGTGCTTTATTCCCATGTTAGGCTATTCTTATGGAGAAAATAAAAATTGTTGGTTTGCTTATTTATGGATAGGCCTATGTTTATTATCAAATTTGGCAAATTTATTTATTTCATGCTGTACTATTAACATATGATAAAAAAATAGTTATTTGTGTAACTAGTGTGGAAAGTGGCACTTTGCTGCACATGAGATAAATATTTGAAACGCACAAGCCGCAGGCGTGTGTGGATTTTCTCGAGTGCAGCAAAGGCAATTTTCGCTCGCGTTACACATTATATTTTGTTTACTGTTAATCAAAACACTATAAGACATGTTTTTAGGTTAGGTTAAATCCAAGCGTTGAGCATAATGGGAAACGCTAGGCCTACCTACCCCAGCTGATCGTACTCGTAGTATCTTTGTGTTGCCAACTTATTTCCGAGTGTACATGTATTACGAGCCGAGTAAAAGTACACTCTTCTGTGTTGTTTGGTTGGAATACTGGAGTGTGGCAAAAAAGTAAGTGCGGAAAAAGTACGTAAATGCAGCAATTAGGTACTTTGCGTGCAATATAATCAGTGCAAGGACCCACTTTGTCAGGCAACTGTAGGAAATAGAATATTTCGTGCCCAGGGCCGAAAATGAAGTTTTGCCGGCTCGAGATTGTTTTTTAACTTCAAGATGAAGTCGAGAACTTGAAACGATCAAGAGCTGCAAAACTATTTCAGCACGTGGTACGAACGCTATTTTTCACCACACTATACTTTACCCTATTGCCACTATTCCCTACAATATTAATTCACACTAACTACAATTTTAAGGTTATGTGAAATATTTTGAGGAATCAGCAAAAATAACAATAAATAGTTGCTTAGGCTGCGGTAATGATCAAATGCAAGTTAATGTTTTAAATAAGTAAATAAACAAACAGCTAGTTTTCGGCTCTAGGGATGTAAAAATCTGCTCGGTCCCCAATTGACGATGGCAGCTGGCATGGACAGCAATACGTAGCTTTTGGCCCCCAATAAAAGTTTGTAAAACGGCTAAAAACATCAAAGTGTGATGAAAAATATTTTACCCTTCCTTGTAACAAGCAAATCTAAGTAGGCCTATTCATTAAACCTAATTTAAATGGGGAAAAAATCTGACATGTTCAAGGAGTTATTTTAGTCAAAATCTAATCCTGACAAATCGAAGTTTGCTTAGTCTGCATGTTTCCTGTGGCGGTGGTATTTATTTACGACAAATTTTAGTATTTACCAATACGGATATAGCATAGCTGACTTGCAATCCCTGATCAAAACAAGGAGTGAAAAAAGCGAGTAGGTACCTGACATCAGCCGACATGTTGCATATAGTTGTATGTTGAATACCAGTCATACTAAATCTATCACGGCATTTAAACTAGAACAAACTGCAAGAACCCCAACATATAGAGGGATAAAATTATAGAACCTACGACGAAACTGGCTTAAAAATTTTCAAAACACAAGAAAATTCTCTACTCAACTGAAAAACTGCACACCCTTATTACAATTTAAAAGAGCTCCTGGATGAACACACATATAATAAGACAGTATTTTAACCAGAAATGCATAAACAAGATAAACAAGAAAATGAATAAAAGGAATAAATTAAGTTGAAGCCTCCCCAACCTTGATGACCGCAGAGGAGAAGAACAGCAGTAAACAGTGCTTAAAATATGAAACAGACAAGTACAGTAGGCGCAAGCAGTATGTGCATGCGGTTCCGTCTCTACTAGCCGTCCTGTATACATTTCACCCAACTATCCACCAAGCCTAGCCACGAAGACAGCTGAACAACTCCAGAGCCGTGTGGGCCAGATGGTTTTGGAAATGAGCACTAAACAACCCCCCTTCACCCCGCCACCATAGCGCAGCGGTGCGCCCAGACTGGATGCGACTACTGTACTAGAGGCCTACTTGGTAACTTGGCAAGTAGCCTATTCACCTATGAGGACAACACAATTTCAGTGAACGTTCGTAGAGGTAGGTTGTCAGTGAATAAGAAGAAGAAAACAAGATTTTGCGTTGATCACCATCATTCTAACACCAAACAACAATTGTAACTTATGTGGAATTAGTAGGCTATGATTATTTAACGCCAGTGTTTAGCCTACTGAAGTAAAAGTGACATCATCAGAAAAAGATTTTTTTCCTAAAAGGGCAGTTTTTAAGCACATTTAGTCTGACACTAAGCAAGCAGGTTCTATAGCTCAAACGACTTAAGTTGAGGTGTTAAGTTACATCTGAGGCCTTGGAGCAGGGCATAAAATAACATGTTAACTGGGCGACACAAGTGTCACCCAGTCCTGAGATTTTGTCGCCCAGTGACTATGGGTGTTGCCGGGATATTTTTTTTTAATGATCCACATTTTAAATTTATCGGAATTTAAAAAGTAACATTATGTAAATATTTTAGAGTAGGGTATTGAGGTATGATTTTGCCCCAAGAGGTTGTGAAGTGAGATGAAATGGACTATTTGCAAGCAAATATAATACAAAAAATTCCAGGGGGAACCCTCGGACCCCTTATTAATGGGGGTATTCCCTCCAGACCCCCCTGTAAGTCCGGCGCCACTCGCCCAGTGGAAATCCCTTAAAATATGCTCTGCCTTGGAGACCTCTTTTGATAAGGTAAGCTCCAACTTATGTTTACTTACAAGGAAAGAAGTAGGCTAATGTATTATGATAGAATTACGGTAACTTATTCTGGGAGTACCTATCACCACAGAAAACGTACTACTGTAACCCAGAATGCCAACCGCATGGTAAAAAGCATTAAGCGTTTTGAGAGAGCTTTGCCTGTCAATCCGTAGGCAGCGCCACCAGCGTTGCCATGCACTCAGCATAGCAACGCTGGTGGCGCTGCCTACGATTGACAGGCAAAGCTCTCTCAAAACACTTAATGCTTTTTACCATGCGGTTGGCATTCTGGGTTATAGTAGTACGTTTTCTGTGCTATCACCTAAAACATGTTAGAGCCATTTTATGTGTAGTACTTTAGTTTTTGCTCTTAAATACAACTTAGGCTACAAGAGGTAACTTACTTATAGGTTACCATTTCGTGCCATTCTTGAATTTGTTATTTTTAGGTAAGCCCTCAGTCCAATTATGACTAAACTAAAATAAATAACTTACCATGTGTCGATAAAACTGTTGATTGAAATCTGCCGGCTTAGAATCATGTGTTCTCCGTGCATTACACCCTACATCATTCCATGATATTCACCCCTTTACTCTGGCGTACAAAAATAATAATTGTAAGTGTATACAAATTTAAGACGTTTTTGACAACGAGCAAATATTTTCAAAGACAAGGCATGATCATAATATGGGGCGGTCCTATATCAAACACTTGACAAGTTCACTGAAATAGTTTGCATCCCCTAATTGAAACGACCCACAACTTCGACCTCGACTAAACTACAACACCATCATGGTGCTTGGCTCACTGTCAAAAATACCATAAACATTACTTTACTTGGATTTACAATGTCAACAAATCTCAGAACACTCGACAGACAAGACAACCGTATCCGATCCCAACGTCAACGAACGAACCCCTCAAAGCTTGAAAGCGCTTTACCCTTTACCAAAACCAAAATAAACTTGTTCTACTGCTAATCAGCTGGTCCACTTGCTCTGTCCACGTGATGTAGTTGAGTGAAGAGATACATAAAGTACAAAATAGACAGTAGTGTCATGACCATTGGTTTTATAGTATAACCAATATGTCACGTTTGATATACGATACGAAATAGTTTAAAATAAGTGAAGTACTAAAATATCCTATTTGGCAATTATACTGTTTTGAACTGGCAACCAATAATGAAAGAGAAGAGGATACAGTTTTCAGTAAAGTTATCCTAAAATGTAGTCTACAAAAATGGCTCTATTATGAATCTACAATCTCTTTGGTATCATTTTAGCGAATTTCCCATATAGGGAATAAGCTATTACCGTAGTACTCATGGTAAGACCTGGACCCGAGACCGATCTAACTTTTCATTTTGAGGTCCCTAGAGGCCAAAAACACCATCCGTTCAAATTCATATATATATATATATATATATATATATATATATATATATATATATATATTTATATATATATATGTGTGTCCGTTAGCGCGATAACTCGAGCAAAAATGATCCGATTTTGATGAAATTTGGTACAATCGTGTAAACCTACGTTTATTTGAACGAGTTCGTGATCCAGCATAATCGGACCATGGGAACGGGGGTTTATGGGGGGTTTTATGGGGTGAAAATGGGTTTTTCCCATTTTTGAACCTAAAAACAAAAAATGTTGCGATTTCTTTCTAAAACGTTTTGTAGAGCTTAAAAAAATAAATAATTTAGTATATTGAAGCGCTGTTGTATGCCTAACGGTCACGGAGAAAATTCAAAAATAGTGTAATTAAAAATTCCCATGTTATTCTTATGGAGAAAATGAAAATGGTTGTAGTTTACTTGTTTATGGGTATATATTGATAAAATTTGGCAAATTTATTTATTTCATCCTATACTATTGATATATGGTCAAAAAACACTTTTTGCCTTCCCCGTAGCAGCAAACCTAAGCACTTGTTAAATCTAATGTTATTTAAATATGGAATAATATGTCTTATTTATGGAAATATTTTAGTAAAAATGTAATCAGACAAGTTGAAATTCGCTTAGTCTGCAGGTTTGCTGCGGCGGGGGTATTTGAGATTAGCCTAGAAACGAATACGGTACCGGTATACCGGTATTTAAAATCATGGATTATTGAACATAATTCCTTTTACATTTATCAGCCAATTAGCCTTAAGTATCAGAGACAGAGTTCTATTTATTCGAAATTTTAGAGATTTGAATGGTGTCAATAAAATATTATACAATATAAGGTGAAATAAATGTCAAATGCAATGACTCTGCCAGTCAATAAATTCTTCTACTCTGTGAATGGCATCTTGTAGAACCATCGGGTGAGGCAAGCTTTCAATCCCCGCCTTGTACAACAAGCGTTCAAGGGTTGTCATCTTTCAGTTCTCCTGGCAGAATGTTGAACGAATCTTGGCCCGGCATAGGTAGGCATGTTCGAAGAGTCCAAGGCGATGAGCAGGGAGGTTGTAGTTAATTATATTTTTTCTCGTTGCATAGCACACATACACTCCGGCTCTATACACACTTCTTCATGCCCCTTGAGATTCATTGGTTTAGGCCAAAACAATGGTTTCCATTAGGTAAGACTGACGATTAAAGTAAGTAGCTCAAGCTCATTATCTTTAAAGAAGCTATACTACAATTTTCCAACCAGTCAGCATCATGCGTAATTTTCAGAGCTTTTTTCTGCAGAGTATCAATTAATTACACGTTCAAAGTTAGTATAGCCGCAGACCCTCAAACTGATATATTCCATATCGTAGATGGTAGACGAGTGAAAATTTAAAAACGTACGTTTTCAGGAAAAGCACTTTGCAGATTTTTTTCCCCTTTTTTCAAAACTTTTATTATTATTTTTATTTCATTAACATTTGAAGTTTAATAAAATGTCCATGGTAACGCAATATCTTTGGTATTTTTTTTAAAAAAAGAGCATCTTTAGTGGAAAAACACAAAATCCTGTCACGACCATAAGAGGTTTAAATGAATATTAAAAATAGTTATTATTATTTTTATGACTATGTTTTGCTATAAACTAATTTACTTTTATGACCATTATACAATAAAATGGTCACTGAGCTTTTGGTATATTTGGTCTTTCTAGAAAAAAATGAAAAAACTCAAAAAATTGAAAAAAAGCCAATAAAATCTTTTTAAGTTTGTATAACTTCAAAAAAAAAATTACCTGAGACCCGAAAAATCGTTATGTTTGTATAGAGGTGTGCTTCTTTTGTGTATAAAACATTGAAATATGACGATATTTTAATTTTTGAAATTTTTATGATAGAAATCATCAACTTTCACTCAAACTTGAGATGGTCAGGGACAAGCGCTACGGTCGTGAATTTTCTGAAATAATCTAAATCTTTCTAAACAATCCTTCAATTATACTGTTAGTTATAATAAAAATAAGTGTTTCAATTGAACTAAACTGTTCAAATTACAATTATATTAAAGTTATTGTCACGACCAAACACACTATAATCCATAAGGCTGGATTGGTCATGAAAAAACCCGCCATGGTCGTGAAATTACGTGTTATTTGGCTCTGTTCTGGCGGTAGCCCTGCACCCCATGTATTCTTATAAACAAAAATTAACACCATGTCTACTTCATCGAATGACTACGTACGGTCATGGACACACCAAAATTACAAAAAACACAATCTTTCCTTTATTAATCTTGTAATTCCTCCTTTCAACTCGAAACGACCGGCACTACAATCCTGACGTACACCCCGAACTAGTCTCTAAAACCAACTGACTCCATCGACGCCAGGCTTGCCACTGTCGTGCTCCAAAGTTGAAAATTTTTCCCAAATGGTTGTGACGCCAAATCGAGGGACAGACTTATTTTGTCATGGTAGTCAGTTTGCAATGACAATAAAATTATAATATGCTCCTTTTTTGTAAGTTTAGTAACCATTGATGACATAAAAATATGGCTTTATATATTTCGGCATGAATAATTAGTCTAAAAACAGCGTGAAAGTTGGAAAATGTACCCTAGGGACACGTCATGGTCGTGAATTTTGAGACTTTAAAAATACGAAAAAAATACCTAGAACCTATTTAAAACCAAATAAATGTGTGCAACATGTTGCCCCCGTCCCAAAACATATTAAAACACATAATAATAAACTACAAATCCAGTATCTACGAAGTAAAAGGCCAGGGACATGAAAACGTACGTTTTTAAATTTTCACTCAGATATATAGCTTTCAAGTGTGTGATACACCACAAGCACAGTCTCTTTGATTCTCTTCAGAGCATATAGCATAACATCAACCCTTTATAGTTAAACAGCATTAACTTTATTATAATTGATAGCCCAAAGACAAATGTGTCTAAATTTGAAATAGATCTTGCATGAAATAGAATCAGCGACATGTATATAGCAATCTTTTCATTAGGAGCTAGCTCCTCTCTGGTTGTTAGTCAAAAAGTAGAGCACAACAATCATAAAACCTACATTAAAGTAAGAGAAACACATTCAATCAACATCAGGATCCTCAATCATCACCAACATGACATCCACAAGAAAATTAATATCATTCAATAAAGAATCTCAGATTTTACAATAGGGTGAGAAATCTATAATAGCACTCAAATACAATGATGTAATTTGAAATAGGAAATGCTTTACCTTTTTTTATAGCACCACACAAACATTTCAAATTCAGCAAAGCCTATAATCATCAGGGAATCACTTTTAGCACAGCCTCCTCTGTGCTTTTAGGCCAAGAACAATGGTCTGCACTCCTCCTTATTCCTCCAATGAGAAATTGTGTAGTAGAGGCTATGTAAATGACAAATAACAGACACTCTATATTTGGTAATCATTTTAATGTTTTTTTTAAGGTTTCCAGCTCATTCCTAAACAAGTCAGTATAGCTTTTTGATGATTTGAAACTATACTATGGAGACTGTTTTTCTCAATTACGTATAAGGACATTTTTTTCCAAATGGTCCTGGCTGAATAAACAGGAAGGATCTTTTAGTTACAAAGCTGCACAAATCAACTTCACTCTATTCTTCACTCACCTAGCCCTAGCATTCATTTTCAGCCAATAGGAACAAAGTGTGTGCTTACTGTATTAATAATGTGACAAATTTACAAGTATTTGTTTTACAAATTATATGGCTATGTAACATCACAGAATAATGTTTTAACATTTTTAATAGCACTGTGAAAATGGCATACTTTTAAAACGTTTTTATTAGCTCATTTTTTCCAGTACAAATTTTGCAATCAATTTTAAATTAAGTTCCTGATAAGCTCTAGAGACTTGAAACATAGCTCACAAATGGATGAAAATGCAATGCTGTATCATTTTATTTTCATATTTCCCTTGGGCTAAGCCCAATGGGCTTCCAAATTTTCAATTTTTACATTTTGAAAGAATGTAATATCAATTAATTAGTCAGCTGTAAATACTTAAATTTGACAGTTTACAGCTTCTGCTCCTGAGATTTGTAAAAATATAAAACAACCATTTCAAAGTAAAGATAAAACATCTGATTACAGATAATAAGGTTTCGGTTATGTAACAGGCCATGTAAAATAGATTTAACATATTAAAGACTAAAAAGTAGGAAATAATTTATAAATAAAAATACTGTTAAAAAATGCCACGTTTTTAAACGCACTAAAAAGTAGAAAATAATTAACGAAAAACGTGGGGCGCATGCAATAGATCATAATAGTTCAATATTGTGAAGTTAATTGTAAATTAGCATGCACCCCTCGTTTTTCATTTTAAATCTTACAAGTATTTATTCTCTCAATCTATTTATAAATTATTTTCTACTTTTTAGTGCGTTTAAAACGTGGCATTTTTAAAAAGTATTTTTATCTATTAATTATTGTTGTTGAAGCTCTTGGGTAAGTTATTCGTTATCTAATTGCAATAGCCAGATTCACAATCTGTTTTTCATTTACCTTTGCCCCTCTCTGTTTCTTTTCTAACCAAATCCCAGTGATTTCCCAATCATAATACCACGACAATGCGATACTGCAACCCCGTTACTCCGAGACACAGCACTTGCTTACCAAGATACAGTGCCATAGCTAAATAATATCTCTATATATAATGTAAATAACATCTAAATGTTCTTAATTCAGAGTTAACATACTTTCAAAACGCAGAAAATTTCTGCAAAAGGTATATTGCGATGACACACCGGCCATCAAGATTAACGACAAAACAAGATAAAGAAAGAAAATTTTCAATTACTTAGAGGCTGAAAATTAAATTAAAATGTACATTCCTTAATTTCTTCTTCTAGTACATTTATTAGTGAACTAGCAGAATACCCGTTCTTCGTACGGGGTTTGCGAAAATGCTTATTGCAGTTATACTAATCAGTTATACTTAATCAGCTGACAGAATCAATTAATTCCTTTTAAAATTTGAATACCCATAAGGTTTACATGGGAAACTCCAGAGCCACTAGGGCGGAGCCTGAAAGGAGTTTTGAGATAACAATATGCCTATATATTAATCGGGAATGTGAGCTATCATCACCCCGAATTTCAGCCCTATCCGACCAGTAGTTTTCACGTTTACTTGTCACAAACATACATCCAAACTTTCTCATTTATAATATTAGTAGGGAGGATAGGATAAAAACCCAAAACTGAACAACACTAATTTGGAGGTAACAAATAAACAACACTGTAGTATACTTCTTTAATAAAGGCATACGCCAAAACAGAATTACAAAATTGTTTCTGTACCGTACGTACATATCTTTGGTATAAATAAAACTCATGTGTATAGGATTTTTACATCAACAAAACAGTTTGTGAAACAATATGAAAATATTTTAGAACCTGAGTACCGTATGCTAAGGTGAACTAAAGGTATTGCCAAGCTTAGCTAGGTTAGTCACTCTATGCGCTAGCACGAGGCCTCCTCTACCATCTCAACGACCACCTGATCGTTTACATCACATTTCAATTTTCGATTGGGTAAAAGAGTGCTTCAGACATACTCCATAAAGTAGTTTGATTATTGACTCCAGTTTAGTTTTGAACATAAATATCTCGTACAGAAATTAAGGTTCCATCATTAACAAGGCAGTTCAAACGTTGGCTGCACTCGCATGTACACAAGTCAAACCGATCGTAACAGTTTATACCACAAATAAATCCTTATACCTAGATGTCAAAATATGTTACTAAAATCATAAAGATAGGACTTGGCTAGTGATCACGATTAAGATTTAATTTTATACAATTAATTGTGTCATCCCCACAATTGTGTACCAATTTATTACTTGATGGAGTTGAATTCTAAAGCACTGCTGAATCTTGTACTTGATGAGCTTGTATCTTGAACTCAGTACTTGTAAACAAATTGGATTTTGTCACACTTTAAGAATATTTCAACAAACTTAAATCTGTCTGTTCATTGTAAAATTTGTGTTGTCATTCATATCGTGGTGAGGTCAAAAATTAAGCTCAGATTGAAAAATTGTACAGCATATTTTAGAGTTCATACGGTTTTTATAATGTGTTATTTCTTGCAACAAAATTTTGAAAAACAAATAAAATTACCTTTGAAATATTAGTTAAATTGTATGAAACTTAAAGGAAACATAAGGATTAGGTAATAACGCAATGAAGTTATAAAAAGTGAATAAAAATACTAATCTCATGTTATGAACTGAAAAAGATTATGAAATCACAAAATTAGAAAGTGTGGGATACTTTTAATGTACAAAATTCTCAAAAGAGCATAACAATCTTTCGTCATAGTATTTGAGAGGCAAAAGACCAATTAGTGTAGATGTATACACAGTGTCCGGGCTAAACACTTAACACTCACATTTTTGAAATCGAGATAAGAAATAAGTGGAAATGTGATGTTCAGAACCATCCAGGAAAAGATAGAGCGAGTCTATCCAATACTGCTAGTAACCAATAGTGTTTAAGAATGTTTGGTAACTTGTCAAGTGTTGCAATTAATTGTCACTGTGCTGCAACAGCAATTGCAGTTGTAACATTAGTTGCAACCATGTCACAAACTGTAGTTGCAACATAGTAGCTGCTTCAGCAACCAAAGGTTTAACTGTAGTTGCAAAACAGCAAGATGTATGGAATATAGGAGGTGGAACAGACCGAGTGATCATCATTTAGTCAGGTCTTCCTCCTACATTCCATGCATCTTGGCAAAACAAAGCAACCACAAGAATATTTGCAGCTGCTGTAACAGTAGTTAAAAACGTGACTTAAACTGCAGGTGCAATTCTTCAACGACAGTTTTAACCTCATAAGCAACTATAATTGCTACAGTATCAACCTCATCAACAGTAGCTGCAACTTCAAACAGTTTCAACTGCATTCACAACTACAGCCACAGTTTCAACTGTAACAGCAACTGCAAGTACGGTTTCAACCGTTATACAACTGCAATCACAGTTTTAATTGCAGCCGCAGCAGCGATTAGAACTGCAACCACAGAGTTTCAACCGAGTTAGCTATTGTAACAACAGTTTGAACTGCATCAGCAGCTGCAATCAAAGTTTTAACTGCAACCGCAGCAGCAAATGGAACTGCAACCACAGTTTCAACTGCATTGGCAACTGCAACCACAGTTTTAAATGTATTAACAACTACAGCAACAGTTTCAACCGTATTGGACACTGCAACCACAGTTTCAACCGGAACAACAGTATCAAGTTTCAATTACAACCGTAGCAGTAACATAGAACTAGGAGAAGTGAGAGAAGGCACCTCTTGCTCAGGAGACACTTAACACAAAACACATAACCTACATTACTGGATATGTACATATCTTACATTACAGTTACAGGCTAGTATATCATCTAACAACGTGTTCGATTATGTCAAATCCAAACAATTCTGTAACAACTCATATCGAAAATAGTAGTAAAACATATGGCTACTTAGTACTGTGAATGGAAACATAACTAGCCTATTGTAGACGATTTTGTACATAAAAAACCTAAATATCGTTGATTTATAAGAAATTCATTGTTTAAATGAAACTACATTAAAACCGCGGTACGTAACAGTTATTTTTTGACAGATTGATACCTACAAATTACATTATTTACAATTTACAAATATAAACATAAACACTTACAAATAATTCAATAAAGTTTCGCTAGGTAATGTTTATTCGGAATAGATTCAACTTCTAGTACAATATGATAAAACGAAGAATTACACCAGGATCAATTTGACTATAGCATTAGGCCTCAAGCGTACAATAGAAAACCACCAAAACATCGGTCAAGCTTACAATCGGACCAGACCAGTATTTGTTTAACATAAGCTAAAACATTTTGTTATAAAATGACTTACGTTATATTGTCTAGTTTCGATTAATTGCTGTATTTTTACAGAGAGTAACAAAACAATTTATTTAGTCATTGTAAAATTCAAACAAATACTGAACTTTACAATGTATTTACTTACTCTACCTTATAATAAAATCTGTTACTGAAGGAATTATATTCTTTTCAAATTGCATTTACACACGAAAAATGTTTTATTTGAGTGTGTTTGGCAAAAAATGTTTATAGGCCTAAGATTAAAAATTCCATTTAATAAAAAATTGTCAAATTACAATATAATTCAGTTACCAACGTTCTACCATTTATTTATGTACAGATGCTGTGCAGATCGGGTTGGTATAAAAACAAACTCAGTGTTTTAAGAATAACAACTAGTAAAGTATCTCACAACAAGAAAATTAACAATGTATTTGTGCTGAAAGACAGGTATAACAAGATAAAAGTCAACAGATTGTTACATAATAATACATAAACATATCAACTAACAACTTCACAGATAAGAGAAATATTGTTAGGATTGATTAGACATTGTCAACTCTCAGAAGTATAGTTTCAAAAATATTTTTGAATTTGGATGTAAAATAGTTTTGGAACTTTTAATACTCAATCCAACCAGAGTTTGAAGTTCACAAACCAAAATATGACAAATCCGTTGCAAAAGCAGCGTTTAGGGGGTTAAGTCAAATGTCATAAAGGTAAAACCATTCAGTTGAAAAAATTAATATTTATAATGCTTTGATTCTATTCTGATTATAAAATAAAGAAAAACTTATATTCATTATAGTATGGAAATTAGTCCTTTAAATATACTGAATGCACGGAATAGGTTGAAGTGTTTTACTTCCCGGGAGAAAACAAACCTCAATGTAAAAAATCAAAGTTACTAGTAAAATTTTACTGTAGATGTTACGTTGTGATGTTAAAACAGGAATATTTACCCAAACGTATAATTACTATAAACGATCAAAACAAATAACAGAGATTGATTCGGAACTTAAAGTCTCATATTGTATTAAGTTAAACTATTTCAACAAATTGTCTGATTTAGTATACAACAGATGAGAAATATTCACATAACAATTACGATATTTAAACATCACTAACATAGTATATTCAAACAACCTAATTCTGCTGGTCAACATACAACGCGTTAAAACCACACTGACATACAAAAACCTACTAGCTTTATCGACAAACTAAAAAAGGATATTCCCTTTGCTTTTAACAATGTTAATATGACATTGCAGATGACAGTGGAAATCAGCACATATTTAATTAATTGGGGATGAACTTGTAAAAATCACAGTAGTAACAAAATAATTGTATGGTTAAAATTTAGCTTTTAAAGTGTAATTTTTTCAATTCAATATATTTCTTACCTTTACAAGTACAATTACATCATCTCTTAACTCACATTCATAGTTTAAAAATTAATATTCTTAATCATATTTGGCTTAAAATATGCCTTACTTGGGTACTTGGATCTCACATTGCAAAAGCATCTTTCAAAACATAAATTTGTAAAATTATTTGACAAAGGATGATTTTTTTTTTTACTATATAGTATACTGGAACTTTTTATGAGTAGACTGTTACTCAAAATCAAATTTATTGCTTGTTTTTTTTTTAAGATGGAAAAGCCGCTAAGGTATATTTTAACACAAATTAGAATAAACTACAATTGTAAAAAGTTTATTGTTGTATCTTTGTTGCAGACTAAAACCAGCTGATTCTTTAATGAATTTACGCGTAATCCAGATCCAACTTTGAACCAACAAAATAGGTACCTAATCTTTTCTCTCAAACTTACAATATTTTATTAAAAGGCAAGCTCTGTAACCACTATCTACCCAGATGTAAATATTAAGGTTCAAGTTCGGAGAATGTTTACAAGCTAGAGGTCAGTGAGTAAGAAACCAGCGAGTTGGCGAGTGTGCTAGCTGTTGAGTACACATGAAACTTTCCACTCGCTTAGTAGCCAAATAGAAACATTCAGGTCTTTTGATAATGTATTTGATGCGCCATACACCGCAACGCCCTACCCACAGTTACACCCACTCTTTCCGTTTTCTATCTTATGTTTTTTAATAACTTGCTTTAGAAGACAAATTACAACCCCTGCCAATAACCAATTCCTCTAACATCATCAGGACCAACTTGTCTCTTATTCACAAGTAACGGTGAGTACACTTAGTTTACAATCGGGTTTGCGCAAATGCAATTGAGAAGCTTGTAACGTCATTAATAGAGTCAACTTTTTTCAAAGCTTTTTCAATGCAGCTACCAAACGAGTGGATGCTGACTTTTAGCTTGTAAACTCCCATTTACCTGACTCTTTATGATCAATGACAACAAAAACTGAACTGAAATGTGGAAAGTATGTGCAGGATTATTGACGTTGGAATTATGCGTCAGACTCCTTGAGATCCTGTAGCCGGGCCAGCTGATGTGGTTCCAGCTCGTCTGGTATCACTGGTGGGGCTGCGGCGGGGTGCGAGTGACTCTGGGAGTTGTCAGCCGTACTAGGCCCCGTGTAAGTGTCTTCTTCACTGCCTGTCAAACCGTTACAGTGGGATTAGTATAGGCTATGGGAGCGATTAAAAGCCAAAGATTACGCAGGATGCACTTTGATTTCAAGGGAAGAAGAGAATCTGACAAAGAACCGAGAAAAGAAAATAATTGTCTTTTGAAGACCAAGAAAATAAAATGGTGACTGGAGAATAAGGACAAATAAATAACTAAGGAAAATATATACAGAAACCGAGACATTATAGCCCCGATAGAAAGTAGGAGACTGATATGGGCTGGAAGAGAAGAGAATAAGATTCAATGCTAAAAATGGTGTTTGAAATCTTCCTCGGGGAAGACAACCATTAGGACGACGTCGGCTAAGGTGGCAGGACCAGGTGCCAAGAGGAGACATAGGAAAATTAAGAGCAGAGAAGGAATGGATGGAAGACAGAGAAAGGCAAGCTGTGATTTTCTGAGACGATGGTACCGGTAAGCGTTTCCACACTGTAATAATTACGACTACACAAATGAAGTTGGGGCTTATTGTATTGAGGATGGTGCAGACCGAACTTACTGGAGAGGCTTTGTTGGCAAAATCAAGTACCGAAGTAACTCACTACCAAGTAACTCAGTTACATCAGTAACTGAGTACACCATGCATGAGGAAATATTTAATCTAATGTTAAAATTAAATAACTGAGGCTAATCCTAATAAAAACCATGCACACAAGCTGTCAACAATCCTTCACTAGATACTCATTCATATCTAAATGATTTGGAAGAGAACTTTACGTTCTACATAATTCCAGATATATTAGGAAAGAACTGTGTATTTAAAAACTGTTGTGCAGTGGGGGTGTAAATAGAAGAAAGATACCTTTACTAGTAATGCATCTATCACACATGGTTTTAAGATAAAATTCTCAAACAAATATTTTGGAACTTTACTATCAATGATGGAATGCAAGCAGCAAAGGGTGTTGAAATTTTCTAAGTTTATTAAACTTAAGTAAAGAAAGTTGGATAAAGTAGTTAAATTAAGGTTACTCTAAGTGTTTTGAATGGCCAAAAGACGTACAAACACTACCACAACATATTTTTGTTTTTTAAATTCAGCATCCGTTGTAAAATAATTCAAATAGGAATTTCAAGAGGAAATAGTTTTTTTTTCCTTAAAATAGAGATTAAAAAGGAACCTGTACTGCTGCTGATGGGGAAGGGGGCTGAGTCTGTAGGTTGGTCGTCGTCTGGATCTTCAGGCACTACTGGTGGCAGCTTCTCTTTCACTTCTTTTACTTCACAAGCCGTTGAATATTCCGGTGGAACCTCTTCTGCGGTCTTCTCAGGTTCCTCTGGTTCTTGAACCTAAGCCAAGAAATAAAATCATAGTTATTGAGGATCAACTTACTTTGTTGAAGTGTTTGTCTTGTCACTGAGATACTTGAATTGCTTAATTCAACCAAAACTTTACTCAGCAATGTATATGTGAAGATTGATCAATCGATTGATTGGTTCCAGACCAACTTGTTATCTACTATCAAATCACTGCGGTCACCACTGGTGGAGCTTCACTGTCTTTAGACCACCACAGACACCAGTAGTCTAAAACTAAAGACGGTTAAAGTTTTGATAAATTTAATAAATAACAAAATAATATTTGTAAAAAGCTTAGAAAACTCTGCTACAGTGTTTTTATATGCGGAATTTCACACTATGAGCGAGATTAAAAGAGAATGCGGATGAAACAGGATTATTGGTCCTAACCCTAATGCAATTTACTTTTTTTAGTTTTTTAAACTACTTTCTAAATAAAAACCAACCACAATTGATAAAACTATTCCAGCACAGTATTACAGCAAGGTTAAAAGAGCTATTTAGTACTCATGATACACCAAAATGATCATTTAACATAGAATGAGGAAATAAATGCGGAATAAAACCAATGTGGGAGGGACAGGTTCAATAACCCGGCAATTAGTTTGGATCGCTCTTAAAAACACTTTAACTAACTTTTACTTAAATTAAAATGGCACTAGCGTGGGAACAAAAAACGGGATTTTTCATTGTAGGATCAAAGTAGGATAAAATTAGATTCTCACGACCCGGTAAACAACATTTTTGTTTCGGTCGTGTGAACATAAATACCTCTTCTGGCAGGGGTGGAAATGGTTTCTCAGGCTCTTCCATCATAGGAGTAGCGGCAGTGATGACTATCTGAGCCACCCCGAGCCCCGCAGACGCAGGTGCTGCTGCAGGCGGGGGTGGGCGACCTCCCCCACCCGGCTCAACCACTATCACCTGACAGGCAGCAGGAAGGTCAACAAACTCTATTCACTTCAACAAAACATCTTAAGTATAGTTAATTTTTTAGGAAGGAGTGCTTTGCTTACCAATACATTCAAGGAGAAGGAATTGATATACAACTAACACACACAAGAACATAGTTCCAGGCAGCTGATAGGATACAAAAAGATCATACCACAATTAATTTTACATTTCACTCTTACAAATGGAGATATATATGTTCTTCAGATGGAAGTAGTAGAATAATTACATAGCTGGCAATGTAAACTGGCCAGCAACAGGCTATATCAACACTGCCTTGGACTCTTTTCTGTGGTGAATCAGGTTTAAATAGTAATAAGATGAACTGTGATCGTTAATTAATTGTATTGAAATTCAAAAGAATAATTTTTACTAGCTTCAATTAAAAGAAAATCTAGTTGTAAATTACTAATTAGTTTTATTTTAATTCCCTACAAAATCATAGAAAGCTGTTGGACAGCGTAAACATCATTACAGTTCCTTTCTAGATTATCATCATTGCTGCTTTATCTTATTTCATGTTTGATTAGTGAAATATCAAATCTTATGATAAAATATCGTGCTTTATTGATGCAATTTCTTTGAAAATACCTCTAATATGAAATAAAAATTTCTATGTAGAGTTTTACTAGCTAATAAAAATGGAAAACTTAACAAATGTAGGCCTAATTAATTATTAATCCAACGAATAAAAATTAATATAACTGTGTGATTTTCAAGTGATTACCTTGGCTGTGCTTTCTGATTCCTCCTCGTCCACTATGAAATGCAAACATGTGAAAAAAACTTGTAGTTTTGATTTTCTTTGTTCCTACATATTTATTATTTAATTATTGATATAGATGATATAAATCAATGAAAGTGGTAGTTTGACAGTTTTCACTCAAAAAACAGTAACTGACCTTCAACACCACCACTCAAGCTCTTTCACAAAGTGATAAAAAAGAAAAACATATCTGCAAAATTGTTGGTGACAGGTTTATTTTGTTTAATGGGTGAATTTAGTGAAACACTGATTGGATGGGTGGTTTTAAGTCTCGTATACAACTCAAGAGGAGTTCCCCTATATATAAGGTAGAGCTTCGAGGGAGAGGATCCCCTAAAATAAACGGTAGACAGCTCTGGTAGAAGTTAAGGTATAGATTCTTAGTTAGTGGGTTGCTCCTAAATCAGGAATTTTGCTACGTTCTGCTAATCTTAACTGAGTGTTTCCACTTTAAACTTTCTTTAAAAAACCACTTCAGTCTCTTTGTTCATAATATTAGGGAAATGGGTTATACAAGGTATCCGAAAAAGAATGCTGGGATTTTAAACAGTTATTGCTTGGGTAGTGTTCAAGATAACTAAATTATTTAAACGTCAATTTTGAGTTGAAATAACTTAAGTTTTGATGTAACAAGGGAGGAAGCGTTGACCTTGGCATGCGCAAAACTATTCCACCCTGGTTTAATCAGTCTTGTTGCACAGGAAGTGTTTTAAAAGGACATTCACCTGTCCAGCCAAAAACAAGTGATGGCAAAGTCAAAGAAATCTGATAATCTTGCATCAGAACCCAAAAAAATCAATTGCCTGACAAAGTCTTCATTTAAACATACCTAAATCGACACTCCACAAAGTCATTCATAAAATATTGAAACTTTGTGCCTACAAAATTCAGTTAAGACATCAGATCTCACCCACTGATTGCCCTAAGTGTACGTACATACTCTGCCAGTGTTACGCTCATATGAGATTGATGACAATCTGAGTTTCATTAAATGTTTTTTGAATTTTATCAAAGTATGGGAAAAACATTGTTCTTTTACATTCAATTTGACGCTCAAATTGTTTAATTATCTTAAATAATCCCCAAGCATTGGCCGTTCAAAATCCCGACATTCTGTTATGGAGACCCTGTATTAATAAGCATAAGAAAACCACTGAATAATCCTAGGAGTTCAAAGAATTGAAATTCATCAGCTACCGTTTCAGAAATGTTCGTTTTACAACTATATTGTGTGATTGTTTTTGTGTTGTTAAACAGTTTTTTTTAAGGTGAAAGTGAAATAATTACCTGTAACTTCAATCTGGATATCGCCATCAAACTGTGACTCATACTGGTCCTGCTGATTCCTGGTCATCGCCATTGAGAATGATTGAGAAGATTTTTTGTCCGAAGATTCTCCTGTAAATGATAACAGAACTTATACTGACTGATAACACACATTAATATGAAAGGAGGTTATTTGAGTTAAAAAAATGTTTGCCATGTTATATGATAGGAGTTGGATTGTAAAATAGTAGAAAATTACTTTTCTGGCAGCAAGCCTGCCCCACATGGGCAAACACACAACATGGGATAACATCATATTAAGAGGTTAGAAAATGTTTTAATTTATATGGCTCAACAGAATGTTGTTTTAAAACAAAAATCTTTCTCACAGTATTATGATACAGTAATATTTCTCACAGCTATCAAATTTGAAGAATAGTTATTTTCCTACAGTTACCTAACAATGTACATGTTCTCTCACTGATTTGAGAAAGCAAAGTGGCCAATTCGCTCATCAGTGGCTGTAAATGGTCAGCTGTTGTACTGTTGTATTTGTCATCAAATCAAATCAAAAAATCCTTTATTCAAACAGTACATTTCTATACATGAATTGTGTCAAGTCAAGAATAAACATAACTATACATTTGGCAAATTTACTACACTAATTAATTAAGAGCTATAATCTATATGTATACACTTTCTCCCCTACAACTACTTACTGTTCAACCATTACAACTAACTATTGATTTGACATACTAATATCTAATTGAAAAAGTCCCCAATCTTGTAGCAGCATTTATCTGACAACAATTTGAACAAACTGGTTTTAAATCTTTTAAAATCTGTCAAACCCTTTATGGTGCTAGGCAGGCTATTATACAATTTTATGCCAGAGTAATATGGAGAATGTTCAATGGTGGAGGTGTTATGTCTAGGGTATGTAAGGCTATTCTTTTGTCTTGTGTTATAGTTGTGAAAATCAAAGTTATTTGGAAAATTTGATAAATTTTGTCTTATATACAAAATTAAATTATATATGTATATACTAGGAAAAGTAAGAATTTTGTGATTTTTAAAAATAATCTTACAGGATTTTTTTCCTTTAAGTCCAAAAATAATACGGATAATTCTCTTCTGCATTTTAAAAACTTTTTTTCTCCTATCTGAATTTCCCCAGAAGATCACACCATAATTAAACAAGTGATAGACATAACCGTAATAAACCATCATGAGAGTGGATATGTCAACAGATTTAGATAAAATAATGAACATAAAATGAGCTTTATTTAATTTTTTTACAACTTCACCAATATGATTTTGCCAAGTCAATTTTTGATCCACTGTGATGCCTAAGAATTTAACTGAGCTTACTGAATTTAGAGAAAGATTCAAATCTAATTTTGTTAACGAGTCTGATTTCTGGTAGTTTTTTTGGAATTCCATCAGAAGAGATTTATCTTTCATTCAGATTCATCAGATTAAATGTCATATTAAAAGTTCACTTCTGTGTTAAAATAGGTTACGTTTCTTTACCAATTTATTTGTATTATGGTAACTGTAGGAAAAATATAATGTGCAACTCGAGTGCAAAGTGCAATTGCCTCACTCGAGAGAAATACTTACTCACGAGCAGTAGGCGAGTGAGGAATGGTTTCTCGAGTGAGGCAATTGCACTTTGCACTCGAGTTGCACATTATATTTTTCCTACAGTTACCATAAAACAAAAAAATTGGTAGAGAAAAGTGACATATTTTTACACAAAGTGAACTTTTAATATGACATTTAATGATACAACAGTACAACAGCTGACCAGCTGATTTACAGCCAGTTCTGCCAAACGAATTTCGCGCGCATACGACCTTGTCTCCATGTTACACGCTCACTATTTCGTGCCTTCACGTTGCAAATCTGGAGTGAGTAACATTGTCTCACTGAATTGCAAATTGACCACTTTGCTTTCTCAAATCAGTGAGAGAACATGTACATTGTTAGGTAACAAAATTATTTTAATCAGACTAGAAGGCTTACTTAAGTTGGAAATATTCCACTTTGGTACTGTACAAAAAGCCCAAAAACGGGAAACAAAACACAAAAATTAGAATATTCTATTGCCACTGACAGCATTCTCAATCAAGTAAAAGTTTGATTTGAAAATGGAGATGTGTTTAAGCCTATCGGTTGACCAAGTTGGATGATGGATTAGGCTAGGCTGGAAGAAAGGCAAAGGTTTGGGATTAGGTCTTGTTTGTGCTAGAGTGGACTCTATCTCATTCAGGTGAGCCTGCTATACTAAAATCATTAAACCTTGGTCCCCTGTGTTGTTTATGACATACCTTAAGTTTTATAAAACCTTTTGTGATATAAATTATCTTTTTTCAGGCTTTCAGTTCAGTTCATGTTCTAAAAAAAGACCTAACTTAATATATTCTATGTTAACTAACACTAACCCAGTGAAGGCTGGTCTCCACATGGTGTGGGCTGTGTGACTATGACAGACTGAGGCGCCAGCATGAAGGGTGGAATATCAGGTGGTGTGAACACAGGTGGCGCAGAGCCTGGAGGGGTGTCATCCCCCTGCAACAACAATAACATACATGTCGATGTCATAATTGATTTTTGACTACATAGAAACCTAGGGTTAGACAAATGTGTGGGTACCCTCCCTTAACCTTTTAATGGATTACACACAAAAAAATAAACTCTGAACACCTTTATTTGGTAAAAAAGTGCAACTTTTACAATTTTATGTTTCAAAATGGGGTATTTTGGTTCAACAAAAATGTTAAGTGTAAAGCCCCTTCGAGTGACAACTTGTTTAATGAACTTTTTTGAAGAAGAATGTCAGCAAAAACCAGAAGGCTTTATCTCAACTCAACCTAGTCAAAAGATTATGGCTATTAAAATTTTCACTAGCCTGAGAAACCCCACTTATAATCAAATGAAATGAATTTTCAAATAACCGCAATGTTCTACTGGGTCCAGATAAACACCTCTACTAGGCTAATATTTTTCTTTAATAAAGGCTAGTTATTGTGGAATATGGATCCGTAAAAACCTAAGTTTTTTCCTAAAAGTATCTTAGTACTTCACTTTTGGACACTTTTTTACTGTCTTAGTCCGTGGATTTAAGTATAAAAGAATCACAAACGTTAACTTGTGTGGATGTGTCAGGAATGGACACTCTTGCTACAAAGTCCGAGACTAACCACTAGTCAAGCAACACACCCATATTGAAGATCTTAAATCAATTACGTCAATACTCGGCTAGTCAAATTGTTATCGCCACTATACTGTACGTGATTCAATTCCTTTGATATCACGGACGATTAATACCAAACATTAGAAATAACAAAATAAATTTTAACAAAAACTAGGCATCTTCTTTATTGTATTCAACAAAACAACATACTAAACTATTATTTGTTTTTAACCAAAACAATTGAAAAACATGTGACTGTTTATTTACGTATATCAGGAAACAGTCTTTTAGCAAACAAATAAGAATATTATATTGAGGTGTTTTCTTTATCAATGATTAATCATCGTACGTCAATCATCCCCCCCAAAACCCTCAATATATATTTCAAATCTTCCTCTTTCCAGACCTTAAGTTATACCCAGGTGAGGCATCGTTATGGTCTTCTGCTTCTTGCACATCATCTTCGGCTTGAGTTACTTCATGGAGAGTTTGCGGGAGTATTTTTAACTCCGACATTAAAACCTTAACATTAACCTTAATTGGTGGATCAGACCTCAAGAGGTACACTCTCTTCCCTAGCTTGTGTTCCACCACAAAATATTCACACAACGTAACATTGAACGCAGGTAGTATCTCTGTGTCCGTTGCGGTTGACGTGACCACAGGAGAATCGGTCCGATGCAGGATCCCATCCTCGTCTCCTGAGATGGCTGATGAGTCCTCGACCATCACTGTTGGCCGCAGGATCTCTTGTCTATCTCCCAAGATGGCTGATGAGTCCTCGACCATCACTGTCCGTCGCAAGATCTCTTCTACACCTCCTGTGATGACCGTTGAGTCCTCGACCTTCTCTGTTGGCCGCCGGATCTCTTGTCTATCTCCCAAGATGGCTGATGAGTCCTCGACCATCACTGTCCGTCGCAAGATCTCTTCTACACCTCCTGTGATGACCGTTGAGTCCTCGACCCTCTCTGTTGGCCGCAGGATCTCTTGTCTATCTCCCAAGATGGCTGATGAGTCCTCGACCGACACTGTCCGTCGCAAGATCTCTTCTGCACCTTTTGTGATGACCGTTGAGTCCTCGACCCTCTCTGTTGGCCGCAGGATCTCTTGTCTATATCCCGGGATGGCCGATGAGTCCTCGGCTAACTCCAAGATATTTTCCCGGTTGTTGAATTTGATTTCATTGTATTTAATTTCGATGTCCGATTTGTCTGTTTCATAGGTGTTAGTAATAAGTTTAGTTTCTAATTTTGATTGGTTTTGGTTTTCCGAAATCTTTTTAATGGAGGATGAAATTACATTTTTGATGCCTGCCAAATGAGTATCCAATTGTTTTGATCGAGTATCTAACTGTGCCGAAATCTTTACTAGTAACATACTCACCAGGTCTGCTGGTGGTTCTCCTAATTTTGTCATTTCTTCTTAAAGTCCTGTCACGGTCGCCAATTGTTATCGCCACTATACTGTACGTGATTCAATTCCTTTGATATCACGGACGATTAATACCAAACATTAGAAATAACAAAATAAATTTTAACAAAAACTAGGCATCTTCTTTATTGTATTCAACAAAACAACATACTAAACTATTATTTGTTTTTAACCAAAACAATTGAAAAACATGTGACTGTTTATTTACGTATATCAGGAAACAGTCTTTTAGCAAACAAATAAGAATATTATATTGAGGTGTTTTCTTTATCAATGATTAATCATCGTACGTCAAAATTTAACTTGTCATTGTTGGTACCGTAACTACTCTTTTTTCAAGTTTGACAAATGGCATTAAGATTGTAAACAATAGATTTTCTTTCCATCACTAACCATCAAGATGCCTCCAACAGTCTTACCTCAGGCGTAAGTGGTTCCCCGTTCTCTCTACACTCCTCTACGACGAGAGAAGGGAAAAGTCCAACTTGGTCTCCAATCTTCCCCTCCCACCATCCGTCGTCAACATTGTCATGCACAATCTTGCGTAAAATTTCCAGAACCTCTCCTTCGTTGAATGTGATCTCATCTTCACATGTAGCTTCGTAATCGTACAGAGCTATTGCCCATGTCCTCTGGTCTTTGCCTCCAGTGATATCTAAAAAAAAGAATAATTTGGTGAGACCAACAAAACTAAACTATTTGTCTTCTAGTTAGTTAAAGCCTTAATTATGTAAAAAGTTTACAATTATTGTTTTTTAGCAGAATGACTACTTAAGATTTGATTTATAGAACTTATGGTACTCACCGGAATTGAAACCCAATAGCAGTTGATCAAATGCCTCTCTATACTCCAATTGAGAGACAATAATTAAGTTTCAGCTTTGACTATTGATACAACTGGACATTCCATCCCCATGTTGAAGTTGTCTCCAGTTTTTTTAATCAAAATCGTCGTAGTTGATGTGAGCGACCGACAGATTGTGCTTATGGAAATTACTGGATCCTGTCAGATTCATGAACTTTTTACCGGGTCAAACTGATGGAACAGCTTTTTAGGAGATATAATAACTATTATGACCTATCAACTATGTCACCAACAAAATGTAAGGTAGAAAATAGGATTTTAAACACTAGCGCATTTTGTGACTGAATCACAAAACTACGTTCATTTTTAAGAAGAAATTGATGACTGGTCCATATAGATGGGATGTCTACTCTACCATCCAATAGGTAAAATCAACAATTGGTTTGATCTACAGTGAAAATAGTAAAACCAAAACCACACACTGCACTAGTATTTTTCGAAAAATATTCTTTTACAAAGTGTATAGCTACAGTAGTCTTCAACTCCTTTTCCAAACAACATTACAAAAACAAACTTAATCCTGGATTTGGTTGTGCTATTTTATCATATAAATAGCAGCTATCTACTCGGGGAAAAAGATTCTTTTACAGCCAATGGGGGAGTAAAAAGTAAATAACACGATTATTTTCAGGCTTTTGATTGTCTAACAAGGGTATGTCAGCTAAGCAAAACCTGGTGTTACTCATAATTTGAACTTTAGTTTAGATTACTACTACTCTTATCTCTTGAAAGAGAATAACTTAGCTTTTTCTAGGGACACCACTAAGAGAATAACCAACAATGTACATACCGATGTGTGTAGGTTTGTGAACTTCTCGTACAGTGTCTTGCTGAATGCTTTGTTCGCTTGGCTCTTCCACTTCATCAACCGTGTAGTCCACAGAGGAGAATGAAATCTGACTGGTCAGCTGATATGTGGAGCCACCGCTCTGCAGAGCACTTCCGTTGGTTGCCGTCTGGTCGGGACAGAAAAATCAAACATTACTTCAATATGCTGAAAAATGGTTATAGAATATAAAATCAAATTGTATCCTTTCAATAAAATTAAATAGGCTACTTGTCGCAAAAAGTACCTGGAACAATGGCACTCACATACAAAAATATTTCATGCTATAAAAAATTGGATATTACATTGAACCCTTATTTATGTCGAGGACCTTGATATAAAGAGTTAGAGTTAACTAAATCACAGAGAAGTATGAAACAGAGGATTATCTTCAATGGTACACTTAAGTGGTCCAAAAGTTTATTGCGGACATTTTCCATCAAAATGGTAAAATACCCCCGCCGCAGCAAACCTGCAGACTAAGCGAATTTCCATTTACCTGGCTGGATTTCTACTCAAATATTCCCTAGAAATTGTCAGATTTATTTCCTATTTAAAAAACCATTAATTTAGTTAGTATTTAGGTTTGCTGCTACAGGGAAGATATTGAGGTGTGTTTGTTTTATTGCAATGTCGATAGCTTAGTATGAAATAAACTGAATTTCCAAATTTGGTTAATATATCAATAAAAATAACAAGCAAACTACAACAGTTTATTTATTCTCCTTAAGATAACATGGGAATTTTTAAGTTTACAATTTTCGTAATTATATCCGTAACCGTTGGGCATACAACAACGCTTTAATATACAAAATTATTTCTTTTTTTAAGCTCTACAAAATGGTTTGGAGAGGAATTATGAAATTTTGTTTTTTTTTAGGGTCAAAAATGGGGAAAATCAATTTTTACCACATAAAACACTCCACAAACTCGTTTGTATAAACGTAGGTTTACATGTTTTCAAGTATTTAAACCCCTTCTTAATTTTTATATGTGTAGGTACAAATATCAAAATCCACAAGAGAGGTCTGAGAAACCTGTGTAGGCCTTTACACATTTACTATCTTTCAACGTATTTGTTTCCAAGAAAACAAAGGAACTGAAATTTAAGAAAAATATTTGTAAAGGCATAAGCAGCCTTCCCTGAGCCATAAACTAAGACAACACTATGTCCAGGAAGTCGTCAGACCGTAAGTACTCTTGAACTTGTTATTTTCCCAAAGTCTTAAATGTAACTCGTTTGGTAAATGGTAAATAATTTTTGTAAACCCTTCGATATTTGTAAACTGTTAAGATTTACTGTAAAGGTAATACTTTTGCGGAGTTAGGTATTTTTTTTACCAAACTGAATATTAGGTATACGAGGATCAATATTCCTAACTTAAAATAGTAAAATAGTATAAAGTAGGTAACTAATAAAAGTTGTGATATAGGGATATTTTCATGAAGATTCCTATATTTGAAATTGAAAACTGCCTTTAAGCCGGCTTTTCCAAGACGCAGAAGAGGAGCGCGGAGAGCGGAAAAGCAATTAACATGGTGTTCCGCTCCGCTTCTGGGAAAGCAGTAACATTAAATTACCTAAGACAAGAGGAGTCCGCTCTCCGTGCCTAGGAAATCAAAGCTTTAGCAGATAGAGAATATATCAGATTATAATTTTAAAGTTAATATTGAACTAGGGCGTTCACGAAGGCGTCGCTAATAGGATTGTGCGGGTCCAGCTGGTAATGGCCCTGCAGGTCAGTTTGGGCTGCCTCAAGTTATGGTGGCAAGAAATATAACACTTTAGCTTGTTCAAAATTAACTATAAGTGAATATCTCAATAACTTTTGTTAAGGTATTGGATATTGCTTTGCTTATTGAATGAAGTCAAGAAATTGACAACTAAAGTTTGCGATCGGCCGATCCTTTTCAGGTATATGCGATTTTATCTTCCTTTTTTATTATTTTAGATCCAAAACAAATTGTGTGGACATTAACGGTTTGTTATGAATTATGAAGATAAAAAGGGTTTACATTTAGGGAATTCCTAATTCAATTAATGATTGAATAACTCAAGCGTGGTTTTTCCTGAAACTAAATGAAAATTGATTTAGCTTCATTGTTTCTTCTAGCTTGTCCCTTCCAGCATCCCGTTGGATCAGATTATGCTAAAGGTGCAAATTATCATTAGAGATTGATAATCTAGGCGCTGAGCCTGAAGAATGATTATGCAAAATGCTGGTATAAAACACATTAAACAAATTCTTTCATTTTGGAAATTGCTAAAGCAAATCCCTTAGTATTTTGGTTTAAATAAGTTGCCATGGTTTTCATTTCAATGATTTTAAAACCTGAAAAAATTGCGGTCTGGATGGAATCTTAATAATTTTTTCATTTCTTGTAACCAAAAGTAAAAATTAATATCAATAGAAATACAGTACGGTTAGCACACTAAAAAGGATGAGGAACAATTAGTGGAATAACTGATCTGCGTTGCAAATCACTAAGAATCGACTGATCCCGTAAAAGTCCGAGTAGACGACTGGACGACCATCTTCCTCCGAGCTTTACCACTGACAGGTATCTCTTCATGAGTTTCAGTAGACCGGGTAACATTTAGTTAAATGTTAAACCTCATTAATAGCACTGTGAGATCATATCTAATAAGGTATACTTACAACTTATAAAGAAACCGTTTTCATACCTATACCTATGGTCATGAAACTCTGGCAATTTTTGTTTGTTCTAGGACGCTAGGCAAGACCCCGGTATTATTTTTAACATTACTTCAGGCTAGACCTAGTGGTTGGTTTGTCTCTTAGATAAAATCCATTGGTGATTTGGTGGGATTTGAACCCGGGACAGGCTAAAGTCCCACGCTCTAGATCAGCTCGCTCCCCGGCTATTTTGAATAAGTGTATGTTACAAGTTACATCCGTTCCACAAATATTTGTATATGGAAGTGGTAGGAAGGGGTGCAGAAGTTCGTAATGTAAGGAATGTGAGGCTAGACGGAGAGCCCAGAGAGAAGTAAGGTACAGAGGAAACATGCTTATGGGACAACTGTGCACTTTGGGCTCTGGTATGTTGGGGCGGAAATATACATGTGACAAGCAAGGAAGAGCCCAAACGGCAAGCACTGTGTGAAAATTCCAATCCTACAGGGCACAGGGTCTTCCTCCACCGTGAGCATTGCAGTAAATGAGGGCAATCGAGGCAGTCGGGACATTGCTCTAGAGCTAGCCACCACTTAAGTGTATCATGAAGTGTATCGTCTGTTTCTTACTTTTCTGTGGAGAGCCTCGCTCCAATATCAACCGTGTTACTCTCAATGCTAGGTTTACGTTTTTACGCAGGGAAAAAAACAGGTGAAAAATAACAGATTATATGATAATTGTTAAAAATTCTGTCTCAATAAAGCCAAAACGCAATTTATGTATTTATGTATAGTGTTTGTGATTTGTATCGCCTGCAAAAGCTAATGAGATAGAAATAATTTATAACATAAGACTACTATTAACAAATTTGGTACATATTTGTTTCCAGGGAAACAGGTTTAAAGGATTCTGAAATTAAATGAAAGATGCCTGACAGCTGTAAGTAGTCTCTTCAATGGATAATAACTAAGACAGCGCTGTGAAAATCGTCAGATGGTGAGTAACGTCAACAGTGTGTAATCTCATTTTCATCATGTAGTTTTGATAAAATCATAGTAGTAGCCCAACAGTTTAAAGAACATATCAAAATTGTCGCTACATTAATCTAAATACATATCTGAAAACATTAATATAGCACAAGTATTGTGAGTATAAAAAAGTCTTATTTCATTTCCCATGATTAAGGTTGTATGATAAAAAGTAATTCTACATTTAAGCCTTGAACCAACACAGTTTAAATTCTAAGCATGAGAATTCCGCCAAAATCCAGTCAACTTCAAGAGTTCAGAAGTCTCTAAGCTCAATGGATGTTGCATGTAAGTAGTTATTATCATTTTGAATTTTAATTTAATATTATTGACATTAACTAGTGTATTCCTTTAAGATAACACGAGTACTGTACAGGAGGCATACAAATGTTTGTCTAGGAACCATTATAAATAACTATATTGAGTGATTGACTGATGGAGATTTCAGATCCCTTGCGATGATAGTGTTCTCCCCATAACAAAAGTATTCCAGACTCAAAGAACAAATCATATCTAAGTACATAGTAAAAATGTACTCTCCATTGCAACAATAGGCCTACTCAACTACTTGCCTCAAAACATTATCTCAACCTGTTGTTAACATAAAGGGATCAAGTTGAAACTTTGGTTAAAACACTATTGCAATTGACAAAATAATATTGCAAATTTGTAAATTTAAAAAAATGCACGAATCAAAAACTAATTTAATGAATTAATTTTCTATCTCTGTCTTATTACAACCTTATATTAGTGGCAATTTTAGTTAATTTTATACACATCTTGAAACTTACTGACCATAATATTGATGTTCAGATGTTCCGGATTCCATGAAAAGAAGATGAAGTTTGCTTGGATCAAAAAAGAAGATGTATGGTTGTTTGTGTGTGTGTGAGAGTAAGGGGGTGGGTTTGATAGCTAGGGAATTCGTTGAAAACAAAAACGGACCAGAAAGATTTTTATGTTATCGTTTCATAGTTATTGAACAGGTCATTTGTACTTCCGACTACGACAGGGAGGGGAACTTGCTAGGCTAACCAGGGAGAGGGAATAAAAAAAGTAGGTTAGAGGGGGTTGTAAAGGGGGGAGGGTCAACATTTTACTTAGGGACGTGGGATGTATCTTGGTAGGCTAGTCAGGGCCTGGGGTTATGGGGTGAAGTAGGCTAGAGGGGGGCATCGAAAGTCGGAAGTTCTAATGACCTGTGTATATACAAAGGCAAAAGATTTTAAAGAAATATGATGTTATCATGAAAAAGATTTTATGGGTTTAAGACATATGGAAAAGAAAATTGTTACTAAAATATTTTAATAACAGGTCCTTGGATCATCCATTTCAGACAGGGAGGGGGATAAAGTAGGCTAGACAGGGACGAGGGAACTTAAAAAAAGTAGGTTATTGGGGGGTTTAAGGGGGGAGGGTTCATTTTTGAGTTAGGGAGTGAGAAGTATATTGGTAGGCTAGTC